TCTATGCAGTAACATTATGTGAAAGAAGGAAAGTTAATTTACCTTTGTGGAGACGAAGTTCGCCAGCAGATTGCTTCTTGACGGAAGCTCCACCTCTAGTAGCATTTTGAGCTTGTTCTCTTTGCTTTTCCTTTACTTTAAACAACCCAATCATTGCTTCTCCCCTCTTAGAACCACACTCACACACCTGTGGACAAATCAAGAGAATAAAGTACTCAGATTGATATTCAAAAATTTAAACTTTCAAACTCATAATTTACAGAGTTTTGGTTCATCAGAAGATTCAAATCAAAGGCTACAACTAGCTCATGTGCGAATTTGTAACCAAACAAAGATGGAAGATTCGAAGAGAGCTATAGGAATTTCACACACAATAGATCGAAATGATTAAAGACCAAATCCGAAGAGATCCCTAAAACAAACTCACCAAAAGCTCAGAAAGTTAAAAAGGAAGAACAAAAAGGCGTTTTTTAAGACGAGTTAATCTACTTACAGGTTCAAAGATCGGAACTTTCAACATAATCAGACAATTGAATCGGAGGGAAAGAAAAACAAAAAAACTCCGACTAGGTCGAATACCGGAAAGCAAAAACGTCAAAACAAAGGGAACAGAAGAGAATGGAAGAAGAAGAAGAAGCTTACAAGTTGATAATTTCGGCGATTAACACGACAATCGAAACCAGACTAGGAGCGAATCAAAGGTCTCCGATTCTCTCTCTCTCTCTCTTTCTCTCTTGCCGGAATCTCGGCCTGGGAAGCTAAACGACGAAGAAACAAAAGAGAAAATGTTGAAAATGAGACAATCGTAGCTTCTTCTCAACGCTGAATAAGTATCACCACAACCTCTTCCTTGTTTTTATTGATACCCAGGCCCATCAGGCCCATAACATATTTAAAAATATCCGTTATAATAATAATAATCTTCGGCAATAAATGTTTGGTAGTTAGCGCGCTCATTATGTCAAACATCAATGTCCAGAAGACAGAACAGAAATGGGATTGACCCGTATGCGTGTTTCATTCCATTTACACTATTTTCGTTCTGAAAGATCTATCGACAATGGAAGACATTTTTTAATTGAGCTTTCTAAAGACTGTTGTTTAAAACGTTTATTTATACTCGATGTTTAATGTATAAAATTTGCATATATATTATAAAAATAATAATGATTTACTAGAGACAAATTATTAAAATTTGAAATTTGTCACTAATTAATAAAAGTGCATACAAAGCAGTTGAAAAATCTATCTTATAATGGGTTTGACAGAAAATATAGTTCTACAAGCTGATTTTTTTTTAAACAAAAAAAATTAGATAATATGAGCCAGATAATAATGTGGAAAATATCATATTTGTACTTTAAAAAAATAGAAAATATAATTTCCATAAACATTTTTATACAAATAAAGTGAAGAGAAGAATCATATATATGAAAAGAGGCCAACTCTCTCCATATTTTTGACATGTGGCAGTAAGTTTTTTTTTTTTTTGAATTGACCTTTCATTTTCCTCTACCGTTTAAAAGTTAATAAATTACGAATTTATTGGACGTGAAGTTATATATATGCCGTCTTTACAAATTCCGCTCTTTCTATCGTTTAATCCTCCGTAATCATAATATCAACACCACCTGCTATGAGCTTTGTCTATGGCGAGCATGGCTACAATCTGGGGCAACTGAGTCAGGTAAGATATCTTTGTTTACAATTCTTTTTCAGAGTTCGTCAAAATTGTGTCATCTAAAGGAGAATAGGCAATGATTTATTTGCGCCACAAGAGCAGCCATAGGTTTTAGTTTCTGTTGGCTCTCTTAGTCCAACTTAATAGTTCATTTCATGTGGTCGTGAGTGAGTAAACAGAGAGAGTTATACATAAAATGGGTGGTATGATGCAAAAATATATATTTGAAATTCAGTCGCTAACCAAGTAAGTTGGAACTAAAACACGAGTTTTATTGTGTTAGAATCTATAATATTACATATCATATAAAAATATTATTTATAGATGTATAACTATTTTATAGTGTTTTTAAAAATTATAACAACAGAAAAACCCGCGCGTATGCGTGAGCTGGTCTAGTGTTTATAGAAACATCGTCATCTCCACCACTAAAGAAAGGCCCATTCCGTCAGCAACCCTATCTATTGTTCTTCTAGCTAAAGCTACACTAATGGCCAACCCAAATCCCAATTGATTTACGACTCCACTTCCCATTTTTTATTATAAAAAACTCAATTTTTAAATACTCTGTAAGAAAAATTGTCTCCAAAACTGCAGCTTTCGAGGAATCGCCATGGCTACAGTGACCCTGGGTTCATGGATTCATCATCCTTCCTCTATCTCTACGCAATCCAAAACACCACCCAGATCCAGATCTTCTTCCCTCATGACTCTTAATAAACCCATCTTCCTCAATTCAAAACGCACCGTTTCATCGTCTTCCTACATCGTTTCCTCTTCCGTCGTTACGAAAGAAGACAATCGCAAATCCTCTTCTTCCTCCTCCTTCTCCTCCTTCGATTTCATGTCTTACATCATCCGCAAAGCCGAATCCGTCAACAAAGCTCTAGACTCCGCCGTGCCTCTCCGTGAGCCGCTCAAGATCCACGAAGCGATGCGTTACTCTCTCCTCGCCGGAGGCAAACGAGTCAGACCCGTTCTCTGCATCGCCGCTTGCGAGCTCGTCGGCGGCGAAGAAACCCAAGCTATGCCGGCCGCTTGCGCCGTCGAAATGATCCACACCATGTCGTTGATCCACGACGACCTCCCCTGTATGGATAACGACGATCTCCGCCGCGGAAAGCCCACGAACCACAAGGTTTACGGCGAAGACGTCGCGGTTTTAGCCGGAGACGCGCTTCTCTCCTTCGCGTTCGAGCATCTAGCGTCGGCGACGAGCTCCGAGGTTTCTCCGGTGAGAGTGGTTAGAGCTGTGGGGGAATTGGCGAAAGCCATTGGCTCAGAAGGGCTCGTGGCAGGACAAGTGGTGGACATAAGCAGTGAAGGGCTAGACTTAAACGACGTCGGATTAGAGCATTTGGAGTATATTCATTTGCACAAAACGGCGGCGTTGCTTGAAGCTTCTGCGGTTTTGGGAGGGATCGTTGGAGGAGGAAGCGACGATGAGATCGAGAGGCTGAGGAAGTTCGCGAGGTGTATTGGGCTCTTGTTTCAGGTGGTTGATGATATTTTGGATGTGACGAAATCGTCTCAGGAATTGGGGAAAACTGCTGGGAAAGATTTGATTGCTGATAAACTGACGTATCCTAAGATCATGGGATTGGAGAAATCGAGAGAGTTCGCTGAGAAGTTGAATAGGGAAGCTCGTGAACAGCTTTTAGGGTTTGATTCCGACAAGGTGGCTCCTTTGTTGGCTTTGGCTAGTTACATTGCCAATAGACAGAACTGAAACTTGTGTTTTTTGTTTTTCTTGTCGGAATTATTGAGATTTTATGTGTCTGGTCTTGTTTAATACTCATTGCTCGGTTTGATGCTTTTGTGCTGAGACCGAATTGGATTGTAGAGATCAAGCTATAACAGAATATAGAGTTGTGTATTGCTCTCTCTTCTTGTTGGTGTAATCTCTGTGGTTCCATGTACCCATAATTGGATAGTAAAGATTTTGTAGTTTCTGAAAACATTTAGTCAGATGCTTGAAGTTGATGATGATGAACAAAGTGTTAAAGTTCAAAACACTGTTGAATCTCTCATTCTGTGTATCCATTCATTTACTCAGATGAGATCTTGAAGGTGAAATGACTACGACGACGTCGTTTGGTTCGCGAAGCCACTTTAAGTCAACGGGAAAGAAAAAAAGAGTTGAGAAATTCGCACCAAAAAAAGGATTATTAAACCCAAGAAACATAAGCAATTTGACAGAGACGAATAGTTATGGATCAGTTAATTCATAATGTTTACAAATTGGGCCAAGCCTATACAATGGTTCAAGCCTATACAATGGTTCACAAATCAAAAGTTCAATCGAAATATTGGTTATTTCACTCCACCCTCATAATTAGATGAACAATGTAGCTAGACACCAACATTATTTTAAAATGTTAAAACATCATCTTCTTCTTTTTTGCCAATAAATGGGTAGATTTGAATCTAAATATGCACATAGTAGTCAACTATCCTCATGGTTTTCATATTTGTGTCGTCCATTATTCCCACTTAGTTACAACCAAAATTAATGCTTGTTTGTTCACTATATCTCTGATTTTATCCTGAAACTGCTGTACTTTCTGCCTACAACCAACAAGTCTAAAATCTCAACATTTTAACATCCACACAAAAATCTCAACTTCGGTTAATAAACTTTGTCACCAACTAAAAGGCCAACACCGTACACAATGATTTGCCAGTTCATTAAATGGAATCATATTCTATTCGATCCGAATCTTATCATACGGTTGATAAATGCATTTGCTATCTTAGCATCTGACCCATGTCCGTACGCAGTTCCCCATTTTTATTTATTTGTTTGTTTTAAATAACGTGCTCGTAAATTAAAATGATGGTGTATAATTAACGGTTAATGTCTTCCATTCTTTTTAGAATTCTTATGTCTTGTGGTGTTAGTACATGTAGCGTGAAAATTTAGGATTGTTATTCTAACTTTCTCAGAATATCTTTCTTGTTTTAAAAATTTCCTGATTGTTTATTTCAGTTTTTTTTTTTCCTATCCATATATACCATGTGCATATATTCGTCTTATGAGTTATAACTTATAAGAATATCACATTAGCAAAATTATGCCATCGTAAAATTTACAAAAAAAACTATAATAATACTATTACAGAATCTGATTTCTTTCGTTGATGTAGTGGTTTGTAAATATGAGAATATGCGTGACAGGATGATTGTATACATATTCGGTCAAAATAAAATCATGAAAGCGCGAAAAGTGTAAACTATTAATCTAAGGAAAGGAAATGAATGTATATACAAAATCACTTGATATCACTGCGAAGATTTTAACTAGGCTGATATTAGAACCATAGACTTAATAGTATGTACTATGTAGGGAGTATATCAAAAGTAGGTACTCTGCAATTGGAAACTGGCCACTTGCGCAAAGAAACAAATTACCATTTGCTTAAGTCTCCGCATTGTTTATAGAATGAGAAAGAGTGGAGAAACGAATTGCATTTAAAGTCATCAGGTCACCGGGCGAACCATCATCGTCGTATCGTAAGTCAAAATAGTCGATAGGTTTTTAAAGATATTTTATCCCAACATGTTGATCCGCTGATATTCTAATGTTTTCAAAATCTAATGTTTTAATTTTTCTTTTGTCGACAGCCTCTATACTTTTTGTAAAAATTAAAGATATAAGTAATCTTTGTTTGGGGATAAGAATAATTAATTTGAGGTTTTTAAAAAGATTAGAGCAATCCTAATGGTTTTGATCAGATTTAGGTGATATTTACAGGATTATATACATTCTAAATTCTAATTCAAGAGCTCATACTTTAGTAATTACATGTTTCTGTTCTTATATAAATAGACCAAGATAATCCAAATGTTTTGTTCTCTTTGAACATCAATCCACATGTTTAAAGGAAAAAAATCTCATCCATTCCTATCAAACTATCAATCCATCCATAATGTTCTTAGACACAAAACATATATATGTACATTCATTTGTATTTTCACTTATCATTTATACACTACATCACAAAATTATTTCCTTTCTGACTCAGATTTAGAAGATAAAACATAAAATGTAGCGACACGTAATTCTGTTCAAATTAACTGAGTTTACAACTTTCCATAGAGACACATTATATCATAAAAGTTATCTCTTTAACAATTACTAGATGTAAGATAATAACAATGAGTCATTTACACATTCTTTTTCCTTTTTTTCTAAATTTAACGAGTTAACTGGCACACACACCATTTAATTACTCGATTGTTACAAAGATAAAACAGAAATATGTGGCGACACGTTTTTTTGTTAAAATTTGTTGAGTTGCCAATTATATTTCCCAATTATAAAGTCAAAGAAGTTATGAAGATATAATATGTTTTGATCGGACGGCTACGGAGTCACCGCTAGCTATCACCACATAGATCTGACAACGTGGACGGTAGCCAGCTATCAACATCTCAAGAAAATATTCACGAAAAGGCAGCGTATTTAATTGATTTTCTCGTGATAAACCTGCTGACGTGTACGGGCCCACTTACTTAATTTTTATTGTTAAGACATGATTTACGAAAAGTAGATCAAATTGTAATAACAGAGGACTTTAGTTACCTATATAAAGCTCATTGCGTAGCTATTCAATTTTCAATGTATTCGAATTCACATGTTCTCTTTGTTTTCTGAGATTTCGTTCGTTTCCTTTTTCTTTTCTTTTTTGATTTTTTTGAAATTTGTTGGCAATGGCGATGGGGAAGCTTTTGTCGCAGCGCTTGTTCAATATCTCGAAAATGGCGTCGCAAGGTCTCATGAACTGCCGAATTTCGTCTTCTTCATTAGCCGTGCGAACTAGGGTTCCCAAAGATCCAGGAGAAGCAACAATCGATCCAGAGCCTGGCGATTTGTCGATGTCGCGGAGGTTTCTGCACAAAATCTCGATGAATCGGATAGAAACTGCTCTGAAAATGCCGATTGGGGAGAGTTTGTTGGAGACGCTTCGAGAAATGGATGTGAACAAGGACCGGATTCGATTAGACGGACTTTCACCACATCCTCCGATGAAACCCGCGGCGGAGGAGGAGACGGAGACGTTGGGGATTAGTGTGCGAGACGCGAAGAAGTTTCTAAGAGCTGCGCAGATCGAAGTCGTTAGTAATATGAAGAACCTATTAATTCCATGTTTGGGTTAGTATGGGTCCATCTAGTTCATCTTATACACTACAAGTGAGTTTCCACAATGTGGAGTCACAGAGGTACATTTCGGACTCCTTACCTCTTCCGGTTCCCAAATTAGGTCCATTTGATGTTCCTCCCTTGGATTGAGACCGTTTCACTCATGTTTGTCCTCATAGTCATGTGTAGAACCTATTAATCCATGTTTGGGTAAGTATGGGTCCATCTAGTTCATCTTATACACTACAAGTGAGTTTCCACAATGTGGAGTCACAGAGGTACATTTCGGACTCCTTACCTCTTCCGGTTCCCAAATTAGGTCCATTTGATGTTCCTCCCTTGGATTGAGACCGTTTCACTCATGTTTGTCCTCATAGTCATGTGTAGAACCTATTAATCCATGTTTGGGTAAGTATGGGTCCATCTAGTTCATCTTATACACTACAAGTGAGTTTCCACAATGTGGAGTCACAGAGGTACATTTCGGACTCCTTACCTCTTCCGGTTCCCAAATTAGGTCCATTTGATGTTCCTCCCTTGGATTGAGACCGTTTCACTCATGTTTGTCCTCATAGTCATGTGTAGAACCTATTAATCCATGTTTGGGTAAGTATGGGTCCATCTAGTTCATCTTATACACTACAAGTGAGTTTCCACAATGTGGAGTCACAGAGGTACATTTCGGACTCCTTACCTCTTCCGGTTCCCAAATTTGGTCCATTTGATGTTCCTCCCTTGGATTGAGACCGTTTCACTCATGTTTGTCCTCATAGTCATGTGTAGAACCTATTAATCCATGTTTGGGTAAGTATGGGTCCATCTAGTTCATCTTATACACTACAAGTGAGTTTCCACAATGTGGAGTCACAGAGGTACATTTCGGACTCCTTACCTCTTCCGGTTCCCAAATTAGGTCCATTTGATGTTCCTCCCTTGGATTGAGACCGTTTCACTCATGTTTGTCCTCATAGTCATGTGTAGAACCTATTAATCCATGTTTGGGTAAGTATGGGTCCATCTAGTTCATCTTATACACTACAAGTGAGTTTCCACAATGTGGAGTCACAGAGGTACATTTCGGACTCCTTACCTCTTCCGGTTCCCAAATTAGGTCCATTTGATGTTCCTCCCTTGGATTGAGACCGTTTCACTCATGTTTGTCCTCATATTCATGTGTAGAACCTATTAATCCATGTTTGGGTAAGTATGGGTCCATCTAGTTCATCTTATACACTACAAGTGAGTTTCCACAATGTGGAGTCACAGAGGTACATTTCGGACTCCTTACCTCTTCCGGTTCCCAAATTAGGTCCATTTGATGTTCCTCCCTTGGATTGAGACCGTTTCACTCATGTTTGTCCTCATAGTCATGTGTAGAACCTATTAATCCATGTTTGGGTAAGTATGGGTCCATCTAGTTCATCTTATACACTACAAGTGAGTTTCCACAATGTGGAGTCACAGAGGTACATTTCGGACTCCTTACCTCTTCCGGTTCCCAAATTAGGTCCATTTGATGTTCCTCCCTTGGATTGAGACCGTTTCACTCATGTTTGTCCTCATAGTCATGTGTAGAACCTATTAATCCATGTTTGGGTAAGTATGGGTCCATCTAGTTCATCTTATACACTACAAGTGAGTTTCCACAATGTGGAGTCACAGAGGTACATTTCGGACTCCTTACCTCTTCCGGTTCCCAAATTAGGTCCATTTGATGTTCCTCCCTTGGATTGAGACCGTTTCACTCATGTTTGTCCTCATAGTCATGTGTAGAACCTATTAATCCATGTTTGGGTAAGTATGGGTCCATCTAGTTCATCTTATACACTACAAGTGAGTTTCCACAATGTGGAGTCACAGAGGTACATTTCGGACTCCTTACCTCTTCCGGTTCCCAAATTAGGTCCATTTGATGTTCCTCCCTTGGATTGAGACCGTTTCACTCATGTTTGTCCTCATAGTCATGTGTAGAACCTATTAATCCATGTTTGGTAAGTATGGGTCCATCTAGTTCATCTTATACACTACAAGTGAGTTTCCACAATGTGGAGTCACAGAGGTACATTTCGGACTCCTTACCTCTTCCGGTTCCCAAATTAGGTCCATTTGATGTTCCTCCCTTGGATTGAGACCGTTTCACTCATGTTTGTCCTCATAGTCATGTGAGAACCTATTAATCCATGTTTGGGTAAGTATGGGTCCATCTAGTTCATCTTATACACTACAAGTGAGTTTCCACAATGTGGAGTCACAGAGGTACATTTCGGACTCCTTACCTCTTCCGGTTCCCAAATTGGTCCATTTGATGTTCCTCCCTTGGATTGAGACCGTTTCACTCATGTTTGTCCTCATAGTCATGTGAGAACCTATTAATCCATGTTTGGGTAAGTATGGGTCCATCTAGTTCATCTTATACACTACAAGTGAGTTTCCACAATGTGGAGTCACAGAGGTACATTTCGGACTCCTTACCTCTTCCGGTTCCCAAATTAGGTCCATTTGATGTTCCTCCCTTGGATTGAGACCGTTTCACTCATGTTTGTCCTCATAGTCATGTGAGAACCTATTAATCCATGTTTGGGTAAGTATGGGTCCATCTAGTTCATCTTATACACTACAAGTGAGTTTCCACAATGTGGAGTCACAGAGGTACATTTCGGACTCCTTACCTCTTCCGGTTCCCAAATTAGGTCCATTTGATGTTCCTCCCTTGGATTGAGACCGTTTCACTCATGTTTGTCCTCATAGTCATGTGTAGAACCTATTAATCCATGTTTGGGTAAGTATGGGTCCATCTAGTTCATCTTATACACTACAAGTGAGTTTCCACAATGTGGAGTCACAGAGGTACATTTCGGACTCCTTACCTCTTCCGGTTCCCAAATTAGGTCCATTTGATGTTCCTCCCTTGGATTGAGACCGTTTCACTCATGTTTGTCCTCATAGTCATGTGGAGAACCTATTAATCCATGTTTGGGTAAGTATGGGTCCATCTAGTTCATCTTATACACTACAAGTTTCCTTGGACAAGTACATTTCACTCATTACCTCGTTCCTTGGTAAGTTGGCCTCCCTTGGATTGAGACCGTTTCTCATTCATGTTTGCCCTCATAGTCATGTGTAGAACCATTAATCCATGTTTGTATAGTATGGGTGGATCTTATTCTGGGTCTTCCATCTAGTTCATCTTATACACTGAGTTTTCCAATTCGAGTGTACAGAGGTACATTTCGGACTCCTTACCTCTTGCGGTTCCCAAATTAGGTCCATTTGATGTTCCTCCCTTGGATTGAGACCGTTTCACTCATGTTTGTCCTCATAGTCATGTGGAGAACCTATTAATCCATGTTTGGGTAAGTATGGGTCCATCTAGTTCATCTTATACACTACAAGTGAGTTTCCACAATCTGGAGTCACAAAGGTACATTTCGGACTCCTTACCTCTTCCGGTTCCCAAATTAGGTCCATTTGATGTTCCTCCCTTGGATTGAGACCGTTTCACTCATGTTTGTCCTCATAGTCATGTGTAGAACCTATTAATCCATGTTTGGATAAGTATGGGTCCATCTAGTTCATCTTATACACTACAAGTGAGTTTTCACAATGTGGAGTCACAGAGGTACATTTCGGACTCCTTACCTCTTCCGGTTCCCAAATTAGGTCCATTTGATGTTCCTCCCTTGGATTGAGACCGTTTCACTCATGTTTCCTCATAGTCATGTATAGAACCTATTAATCCATGTTTGGGTAAGTATGGGTCCATCTAGTTCATCTTATACACTACAAGTGAGTTTCCACAATCTGGAGTCACAGAAGGTACATTTCGGACTCCTTACCTCTTCCGTTCCCAAATTAGGTCCATTTGATGTTCCTCCCTTGGATTGAGACCGTTTCACTCATGTTTGTCCTCATAGTCATGTGTATTAATCCATGTTTGGAATCCATGTTTGTGAGTAAGTATGTGGTCCATCTAGTTCCATCTTATACACTACAAGTGAGTTTCCTCAATGTGGAGTCACAGAGGTACATTTCGGACTCCTTACCTCTTCCGGTTCCCAAATTAGGTCCATTTGATGTTCCTCCCTTGGATTGAGACCGTTTCACTCATGTTTGTCCTCAGTTCATAGTCATGTATAGAACCTATTAATCCATGTTTGGGTAAGTATGGGTCCGTCTCGTTCATCATATACACTAAAAGTAAGTTTCCACATTGGAGGCACAAAGTACATTTCGACTCCTTACTCTTCCGGTTCCCAAATTAGGTCCATTTGATGTTCCTCCCTTGGATTGAGACCGTTTCACTCATATTAATCCATGTTTGGGTAAGTATGGGTCTAGTCTCGTTCCTATCATATACACTAAAAGTAAGTTTCCACCATTGGAGGCACAAAGCTACATTTCGGACTCCTTACCTCTTCCGGTTCCCAAATTAGGTCCATTTGATGTTCCTCCCTTGGATTGAGACCGTTTCACTCATGTTTCTCATAGTCATGTATAGAACCTATTAATCCATGTTTGGGTAAGTATGGGTCCGTCTCGTTCATCTATACACTAAAGTAAGTTTCCACATTTGGAGGCACAAAGCTACATTTCGGACTCCTTACCTCTTCCGGTTCCCAAATTAGGTCCATTTGATGTTCCTCCCTTGGATTGAGACCGTTTCACTCATGTTTCTCCTCATAGTCATGTATAGAACCTATTAATCCATGTTTGGGTAAGTATGGGTCCGTCTTGTTCATCATATACACTAAAGTAAGTTCCCACCATTTGGAGGCACAAAGCTACATTTCGGACTCCTTACCTCTTCTGGTTCCCAAATTTGGTCCATTTGATGTTCCTCCCTTGGATTGAGACCGTTTCACTCATGTTTCTCCTCATAGTCATGTATAGAACCTATTAATCCATGTTTGGTAAGTATGGGTCCATCTAGTTCATCTTATACACTACAAAGTGAGTTTCCACAATGTTGGAGGCACAGAGGTACATTTCGGACTCCTTACCTCTTCCGGTTCCCAAATTTGGTCCATTTGATGTTCCTCCCTTGGATTGAGACCGTTTCACTCATGTTTGTCCTCATAGTCATGTGTAGAACCTATTAATCCATGTTTGGGTAAGTATGGGTCCGTCTCGTTCATATACACTAAAAGTAAGTTTCCCACCATTTGGAGGACAAAGCTACATTTCGGACTCCTTACCTCTTCCGGTTCCCAAATTTGGTCCATTTGATGTTCCTCCCTTGGATTGAGACCGTTTCACTCATGTTTCTCCTCATAGTCATGTATAGAACCTATTAATCCATGTTTGGGTAAGTATGAGTCCGTCTCGGTCCTCATATACACTAAAAGTAAGTTTCCACCAATTGGAGGGAACAAAGCTACATTTCAGACTCCTTACCTCTTCCGGTTCCAAACCTGGTCCATTTGATGTTCCTCCCTTGGATTGAGACCGTTTCACTCATGTTTCTTGGCATAGTCATGTATAGAACCTATTAAATAGAGCTAAAGACGCTCTTTAAAACTAATCTAATTCACATTATACCAAAATCATTTACCCTAATACGGCGATAACTGATAGACAAATAGATATCAAAGACTGGCTTACCGTTTTAGCAAGGTTGCAGGCACGGTCAGGAGAATTGAGGATCTCGTAATAGAACACAGAGAAGTTCAATGCCAGACCAAGACGGATTGGGTGTGTTGGAGCGAGTCCCTTTGCATTTTCCTGTACAACGTAACACAACATAAAAGCCATAAACTTAACAACAGCAAGCTCAGAAAACAGTTCTATGGCAACAGTAGCTGATACATAATCAAAGTATCTACTCCAAAATCAGAATATAGTCAAAATCATAATCCAGAAAAGTAACCAAGGCTATTGAAAACTGTTACATGGAAAGACTAGACGATACAGAATCTAATCCACAATCAGAATATAACCTAAATCCAAGTCCAGGCAAGTAATTAAGGCTATTGAAACATATGGATATGAGAATCAACACGCTACGGATCCAATCAATCAATTGCTTGTTATCACAAGTTGGCATTTTCCTGCACAGCGTAACACAACAAAAATAGCCATAAACTTAACCATGGCAAAGATTAGACGATACAAATCTAAGTATCTAATCCAAACTCAGAATATAATCTAAATCCAAATCCAGCAAAGTAACCAAGGCTATTGAATACAGTTCCATGGAAAGCCTTAAACGATACAGAATCTAAGTCTAATCCACAATCAGAATATTGAAACAAATGGATATGAGAATCAACACAAGCTACGGATCCAATCAATCAATTGCTTGTACTCGTTGCCATATAACAAAAATCTAGCACAAGCTATGTTGAATTCACATTCATGAACAATTGCTTATTATCGTTGCAATAAAACAAAAATCTATCAGAAGATGTATGTTGAATCCACATCCATGAATAATTGTAAATGAAGCACAAAATCGAGTAGATATGAGATTAGGAATCCGAACCTGAGCAGACTCGTAGGCAGAGAGGGTGCTATCGGCGGCGGCTTCTCTCTCGGCGCCGATCTTAAACTCGGCCAAGTACCTGAAGTAATCGCCCTTCATCTTGAGGTAGAAGACCTTGGAATCCTCAGAAGCAGCGGAAGGGATGAGCGTGGATTCGAGCAGCTTGAGGATCCCGTCGCAGATCCCGGAAAGCTCCGACTCGATCTTCGTCTTGTAATCGCGGATCGTGTTGACGTGGTCAACGTTGCCGCGGCTCTCTTCCTTCTGCTCGATCGAGGAGATGATCCTCCACGAGGCACGGCGGGCGCCGATCACGTTCTTGTAAGCGACGGAGAGGAGGTTTCGCTCCTCGACGGTGATCTCGCTGCCATCTGCGGCGGCGGAGACTTTCTCCATGAACTCCACCATCTCTTCGTACCTCTCCGCCTGCTCAGCGAGCTTCGCCATGTATACATACTCTTCACGCGATGAAACAGCCATTATTTCTTCTTTCAAACGATGGATCCACAGGCAAAAAAAAGATGAGAAATGGTCTCAGATCGGAGAAAAAGGTTAAAAGAGAGGAGAGAGAGAGAGATGTGTGCTTAATGAGGGAGAAGGCGAAAGGAGTGGGGAGCGACGAATGCGTTTAGAGAGAGAAAAAAAAAAGGGCAAAAAGGAAAAGATGGAATCTGGACCGTTGGATTTAGTCATGAATTTTTATGCGGGAAAAGTTGGATTAAGAAAGTGAATCCTTGGAAATTTTTACCTACAAATGCCAATATTTTTTAGCTTAAGAGAAATAAAATCAAATGCCAATATTTAGACTGAAATAGATATCCTGTATATGTAAAGGGTTGGTAAATTCATGAATCACAAAGGTTATAATTAAGGGTACTTTGTAGAGTTGACAATGTTTTTTATCAACAAAACCCTAAGAAAATTGATGAATGAGTAGATAAAGTAGCATAAAAAGTAAAAATGTATAAGAATATAGCGTGTAAGATAGTTGATCTGTGGAACATTAATTTGTTAAAGGTTTACTTGAAAGTAATCTTATCAAATTTTGGATAAAATTTACGTGATTTTAATTTTTATACATGTTGTGTCCTCATTGTAACACAAACAAGTATTGTAAATTAGAGTGGATATCATGAAGAACTAAAGAAAAAATAAGAGAGTCACACAACTTCGAGGCAAATAACATTTATCTAGGTTTTTTTTTTATCAATCTTGTAAATTAATTTATACAAATCTTAAGAGTCTTTTATATGAACATAAAAAAACCTGACACTACTAAACTCAGGTGAATGGTTTTTTTTTTTGGTACGTGACTCAGGTGAATGTTACAACAGTCAACGAGACATTCATACAACACTAAAACAGTAAAACCTATAGCCAAAAAAAAAAATAGGGAATACAGTCTAAATTTTACGGCTAAAAATCCAAAATTACAGCCAAAATCACTCTTGCCCTTAATATTTCGAGTAAGTAAACAACGACGACACCAATATATTATATCACTAGACTATAGAATCTTATAAAAGTTTTAGTTATTACTTTTTGCTTGATTAAATGTCGTCGTCTATGTGAGGTCTTGTTAGGGTATACATATAAGGAATCAAGATCTATTTGTATTGATTACCACAAGGTCGACAACTCCGAATACAAACTGGAACACCGATAGAGAACTACAGATTACAATCTCATCGCAATTATAACGTAAGCTCTATAGATGATCTCAGGTCGATCATCTTCCTCCAAGCTCATCTCGCTTGAACAACCATAATCACAATACAATGCATAAAAAGATAATCGAATGAATAATCCACATCAGCTTATGAAGCTTATCAATACCTTCCCCAACAAAAAACAAGGTTGCCCTCAAGCTTGATGTGAAGAAACTGAAGTCATCACTTCCAAGATAAAAAGTGGCTGCCACTCTCTCCTACTGTCTGCAATTGTGACATAAGCAACCAGGAAGACATTCGCTGGATCAATGGCAGCTGAGACAAAAGTCAACACTTCTTCCTTCCCAAGAGCTTGTAACAACATTGGCCTCTATCTCTGACCATGTGACTGTATAACAAACTTTGTATCCCGTCACGCTTCGTTTATACTACATGCCATTCACTTCTTTTATCTTAGATGTTAGAATAAATATTTGTTTAGAGGCAAACTAAGAAAATCAAAATATAGTTAGTGAAACTCGTATAAAATCAAAATATAGTTAATGAACTTCGTATGCTCGAAGTATACTTTCGAATATGCATACGTAGAAGTTTTTTTTAGATTTTTTTTGGATATACATATTAAAAAGTGAGAAACGAGAGATCAAACTGGCAATAATAGAAGAGAACCACGCACAAACATACAATACATCTCCGACAGAACATGCGTTGTAAGCATGTCAGAGCCTCGGAGGATCCTAACAACAACATTATCAAACTTATAATATTAAGTCTTTATCCACCTCTCTGTAATTGTTTGTATAATGATTTCTAGTCGGTTAGTAAGAAACAAATGTCTCAGATTTTTTGTATTCTTTCGGTTTTCTTGGTTACTCATGTAAAACCCAAAATTCTGTTTAACATATACAACATGAAAATAAAAACCCAACCGTCCATGACTTTATTAAATCCAAAATGGAAGTAATACTCACTAACAACAATAACAAAACCTTAAGCCATTTTCTTGACTTAAGATTTGAATCCGAAAGATAAATAAGATCGTATTGAGTTCACACACGCACACACGTTTATATATATAGAAGAGAGATTTATTATATAGGCATATAGCACAAGTTTTGTTTAATTAGACGGCAAAAGCCTTTTGGGACTTGATTCTTCTCTTCCTAAGGCGCTCGGCGATGATGAAAGAGAGCTCGAGAGACTGCGAGGCGTTAAGGCGAGGGTCACAGTGCGTGTGGTAACGCGAGCCCAAGTCATCGAACGTGACCGTTCGTGAACCACCGATGCACTCGGTCACGTTCTGACCGGTCATCTCTAAGTGAATACCTCCCGGGTGGCTCCCTTCTTGCTCGTGCACGTCGAAGAACGCTCTCACTTCAGCCTAAACATTTTCGATCAATAAAAAGTAAAATTAATATACGATTATTAGCAATAATAGCCGACACATAAAAAGGACCAATTATTCTATTTTTAAATTTATAAAAATGGACATAGCAAATTGGTAGAGGACACGTTTTAGTTGGTATTTTCGTTTATTTAAAAGTACCACACCTAACTAAACACAAAAGCAGTTGTGTCAACTTTGGCCCAACCAAAGTCTGATTTTTGTAACCTTTCACTATCTCACCTACTACCACAAACATATACTAGTACTAATATTCGCTCCATTTTCAAAAAGATACTAAAATAATGTTATGTATTCAACCATTTTCATCATTTGCAATGATCAAAAGAACCTAGGCAGTAAAACATTTTGTAACTAATAAGGGAGAGTTTTAATGTTATAAAACGTACCAAGATGGAGTCAAAAGGACGAGTCTTGAGACCACAAGGAGCCTTAATGGTGTTTCCATGCATTGGATCACTGACCCAAGTCACAATCTGTCCAGCACGACGCACAGCTCTAATCAGATTAGGAAGCTTCACTCTCATGTTCTCTGCTCCCATTCTTGTGATGATCGTGATCCTTCCAGGCTTGTTATCAGCATTCAAGATCTCAATCAGCTTCACTAGCTCCTTTGGATCCATCTTATCACTCACCTATTCACACACACACACAAATATCTCTCAATTAGTTTCACTAGGGAACAAACCAAAACCTGACTAAAACCTGATACAAGATTGAGAAACAAACCTTGATTCCAAGAGGATTAGCAACACCTCTCAAGAACTCGACGTGTGCACCATCGAGCTGTCTGGTTCGCTCGCCGACCCAAATCATATGAGCAGAACAGTCGTAGTAGAGACCAGAGGTCGAGTCTAGCCTTGTCAGTGATTGTTCATAAGGCAAGAGCAAACATTCATGAGAAGTCCAGAAATCGGTTGATTGCATTATGGGATGATCGAGCGTTAGTCCAGCAGCGTGCATGAAACCGAGCGCTTCATCTACACGGTGAGCTAGTTCACGGTACCTGCCAAACCAAATCCAACGATTGTAAACACACATAAGAGAGAAAAAGGAAATTTCATAAATTTTCTCTCAAGAAGAACAAACAGAGTATGCTTAACAAACTATTAGGCTTATCAGATAACTGAAAACAGAGTAATCCTAAGGTTTTCTTTTTGCATCCACTCGATAGATTAGACCTAACCAGTTGATACCAAATAAAGTAGGTATTCATAAAGGGAACATTGCATCAAAATAGGCCAACACAAGCAATGACTAGAGCATTATAACATTGGAAACGCAAACGCAAAGAAACAATCAGGTCTTACACAAAGACAGTAAATTAGGCTAATATTAGCTGCTAAGACAATCGCTAACAATTTGCATCCACTAGAAAGTAGAAACTATCAATCAGGCTTCTTGCTTTGTGGCAATTAAGAGCTTAATCACAAAGATCCAAATTTTCTTGGGGGAAAATACTCTTTTTATAAGCATACCTGTCTCCTTGCTCACTTTTTTCAGTGAAATCAAGATTCCACTGAGTAACTCGCTGCATAGCAGCGTAACCACCAGTAGCAAAAGCTCTCAAAAGATTCAAAGTAGCTGCAGATTGACAATAAGCTCTAATCATCCTCTGTGGATCAGGAATCCTCGATTTCGAATCAAACGCATCTCCATTGATGTTATCTCCTCTGTAACTCGGCAACTTCACTCCGTCCCTCACCTCAAACGAATCCGATCTCGGCTTCGCAAATTGACCAGCCATTCTTCCAACCTAAACAAAAACAGAACACAAAACTTAAAATCTCACTAACCAATCCAAAACCCATGAATAAAAATCGATACTTTATCCCCTGAATCGATCCCAATCCAAAACCCATGAATAAAAATCGAAACTTTGTCCCTTGAATCGATCCCAATCCAAAACCCATGAATAAAAATCGAAACTTTATCCCCTGAATCGGTCCCAATCCAAAACCCATGAATAAAAATCGAAACTTTATCCCTCGAATCGATCCATTACCTTAACGACGGGGACTTGACCTCCGAACATCAACACAGCACCCATCTGGAGAAGAATCCTGAAGGTGTCACGAATGTTGTTTGCGTTGAATTCTTTGAAACTCTCTGCACAATCTCCTCCTTGTAACAGGAAAGCTTCACCCATTGCGGCTTGAGCTAACCGCTCTTCGAGCAATCTAGCTTCTCCGGCGAACACGATCGGAGGAAAAGCTTCGATCGTGTCGAGCACGGCTTCGAGCTCAGCTAGATCGGGATACTCAGGCTGCTGCAACGCCGTCTTCGTCTTCCAGCTCTCAGGTGCCCATTTCGATTTACCCACATTCACTGCGACGGGTTTCGTCACCGCCGTTGGAGTCGTTACCGCTGAAGGAGTTGGTGGTTTTGGGTCGATTTGCACGGCG